CGTGTACCCACACTGGCGTCATCCGATTTCAACCGTTGAGTCAAGTCAGGTGTGACCAGCGAAGGCCAGTGTGTGCGCCACGGTCAGTATACTCAGAAATAAGGCCAGTGAAACATGTCTAACCCATGTGTGCTTGTTGCAAGTGCATTCACACTTCAAGAGCAGAGTATCAAGTCATTCAAAAACCTGTCAAAACATTTTAGACCAGAACCACACAAAGCCAATGCGCAACGCTAAGTGGATGATTTTCCCAACATATCCCACTTCATAAAGTTCTGGCAACCGAATTTGATCTCATTGCAACACAATTACTAGAGATGTGGTTGTCACGATGAATGCCGACACAAGCAACGGTAGGCGATTCAAGTGATCTAGTGTGATGAAACCTTACTGAATTTGAAGTTATCCAGCTAAATTAGGTATGTCTGATTCGTTTACTATAAACCCCATTAAAGCAATACAACTACACGTTCACCAGGCTAATGCTTGATTCTTTCCGAAGTTCCATTTTGAATCCGGCTAGCGATTCGTCTTAGAACACACATAAGCTCTGTGATTTTGTGGCAGATACATCAGCTCAACTTACAACACATGCATGTCATCTTTCTGTTCTTTTTAGTTTTACAGTTAAAAATGCATGAGGAGCACGTTTATGTGTACAAACCTCGACGAACCTGGGATTAATTCCACTCAAACCACCTACCTTCAGCTTGTCTCCAATATCTAGTGTACTATCTCCACTAAGACGTTGCACCGCTATGATATACCTAATGCCATTCAAATATAACTTGACTCATTCTAGTGCCAAAAGAGATTTCGCTACATTCGAAAATCAGAAGAGTCACAAACATCAGTTTTATTGAAGCAGACAAAAATATGATGCTTAATCGTAGACGGTGAAGGTGGCAAGCGTGGTGTCTAAGATTTCTTCTGTGGAAAGGCAAAGATGACATTGATGGTGAAGGAGAGCGCGATGGTCATTGCGATGGTTGCAAGCCAATGCGTCCACTGATGTCCGAGCGCGTATGGCATCACAGCTGTTCCCGCGAGGCTGCAAAGTACACCCACAATGCCCGTCAGTACGTATGCCACGCGCAGACAAAACCCGTGCTTGTAGAAACTGACGAGGTAGATGATTGTGGTGACGGCGAGGAAGATCGCTGCGACGAACAGCAGGACACTCTGAGCCAGGAACAAGGGGTTCGCGCACTGGCCAGCGTTCCAGCAGTTCTCTGCACCGACGACCATCACAATCACGAGCAGCGTCACGGAAGCTGCAACTTCGACCAAATTCACCACCTTGAAGACTGTCATTTGCTGTTTGCTTTGTATTCACGCGCGCATGCCGCACTCACGTGTCTTTTAAAGTCGCACATTTGTGGTTTGTGTGGGGAGATGCGCTTGTGCTCTGGTGATTGGATAGTAAGTAACATTGTACAAACGGTTGCGCGAAGTCGAGAGTGCAGTTGATTCTCTTTTGCGAAGAGGTTTGACCTTTGTGGTCATATGCTGACCACTCTTCTTCTTCGGATGAGAGTGGAAAAAAGAGCAACCAAATTGTTTGTTGAAATGCAGATGTGCTGAAATGGGTGTGAAATTCCAGCATTACACATAAACCTGCCGCTTGCCTTATCACTATAACCAAAGTAAATTGGTTATTGTTGCATTCCATTTTGACTCGTGAAGACAGATTGTTGCATTGACAATTTTAGAACTGAAAGGGCGCGTTCTAAGCTTCCAAATATAGTCACATGGATAGGTTTGAGCTCACAGCCGTCACCACACTAACTCTTGACACACCTAATTCCCTGACAAGGTGATTTTCCCCAAATCTGCCATTATCTCAGAATAAACTTGCTCGGCTACAATTTCTACCCTAATCGTGCCCCTCACGTCCTCAGATCACACATCCTCTTCTTCGCCTTTGTAAACACACGAATGGCTCAGGCTACTTCCCAATCACGCGTTCGATTTGATGTAGTCGCATTACACACGAAGATGCACCTACTGTCAACTGCTTTCGTCATGGAAACATCAATGCTTTTTGCTGGCCTGATCCACTTCACTACACGCTACACTACCCGCCAACACTGTGACCGTACGCTGAAGCAGTCCGCTTGTCGATGCAAAAATGATAACACTTGACTCCAGCTCACACTGCTGTCAAGGCCTGTCTGCTGCTGCATGCGATGCCCTGCGTAACCCAGACAATAAGACTTTGTCGTCAGCGCACTAGACAGGGTCGCGCTGTCTCCTTGTGTGGCCAGATTTCTTTTTAGATTATCACACTTGCATGGCTTTTCATTTGTGGTTTAATGCGATAGTACAAATGCCTCTACTATATTCATCACCTTTAGCCTTGAAGTAAGCTCAACGAGATGACCCCACCTGCATTAGTAGTACTTTGACTCTTCACTCAGAATAACGCATTCGTCTAGGATTTAAATTAATCACAGAGAAACAACAGTGTTTCGTATCCGGTCAACCGGCACTGCTACAAATACATTTCTTGTAAACTGCTTTGAAGGAACCTTTTTGGCAATCTAACTAAGCCAATCAATCTCCAAAACATTACAAGTCAAAAATACGTAGCTTCGCTTAGGCGTACACGGTAATACTTACTGCTGCAGTTATTAATGTATTAAAAGAATAACATGGAATGATCTGTTTGCTTACTCAATTTCAACTAATGCCAGTAGTAGCGATGACTAATGTTTCCAAAAGTGGTTGAGCTTGAGTGAATTGTGCGCAAGTTCGTTATCGTTGGATTTCATTCATACCAACAACAATTTGCAGATCTCGTTTAGTGGTTGTGTAGTCTTGAAAGCGACGGAATGAATACCTGTAATCCACTAAGTTGACTGTCAGACCATATGTCCAATTACACAAATGGCATGGCTGTCATTGCCACAGCATCCTGTTAACCAACTAACTTTAGCCCAACTGACTGACGAATAGGCCTTACACTTTGAAGGACAACTAAATTTTCTGTAATTTTACGCAAAATGAAAGCCATCTACTCAGACCGCTGTTCATGCAAGAACATCTACTAGGCTTCATTCAGTAATGAAATTGTCCGCGCTTGTTAGATTTCAGTACAATGTGGTTATGGTTGGTATGATCAAGGAGTTTGAGCAGTCAATGCTCTGAAACAAACAGCTAACAAATTAGTCAAACGAGGTTCCTTGAAAAACACAATTTTCAATCGTTTGAGGTGGTGACGGCAGTTTGAATGAAGACGACCCATTCAGCAAAAACGTTCCAACGGGAGCCTATACTGGTGTCGCTGTCATGCTACTGAGAGCAGAAATAGACAAAACAATATCCGGTCCAAGGTTTCCATCTACCTTCTGACACACTGACCCCAATTTCCACATTTTAACTTGCATTCACTGGAAGACTGCCAGGTGGATGTCCGATTCGGATTGAAGATTGGTAACAAAGCAATCGCCTCAGGTTCAAGTGGGTCTTCGGACATCACAAACTTGCTTCTCGTTTGTTTGTAGGAACTAAGCATCCGTCTCGACATAAGTAGTAAAAAATGAATTTTGTTCAGAGTAAGGTAGAGTGCATGTGAACTAGCTAGTGTACTCTCAGTGACAATACAGTCCTACTTAATTGCAGAATGCACTATTTTGGTTACACCTAATCAACCTAAGCAAAAAATAAGCAACCTCATCACATCAGAAATTAGATCAACTGGACTTGAGCGGTATTCGTGCTCGAATTTCATAGGTGGCAAAGGCTTCCAATTCACCATTGCTAACGCCTCTTTTGATGGCGATTATACCCGTTCCCATGACAACACAGTTCAAACACCAATTTTCACCCTAGTCTATTCGAAGGTCACCACTCCACAGTCACGCTTCATGGCTGTTCACACGGACAACTCGCTAATCAGCGATACTCACTCCCAACACAACGCACTAAAGCCGCCCAGGCGTGCATACGTTGACGCACCTGACTTACTTCCCGACTTTTCAATTTCGGCTCACACAGGCTCTCCGTACGAAGTCATGCATTATTCTGTTCTGGGAAGATGGTTCTTGTAGGAGACAAGGGGCGTTTGTTCTATTTCGGGCACACGCGATGAGAGACGCTTTTCGAAATCCTAGCATCAAATGACAGTTGTCAACACGTGCTTCTTTAAAATCACCTCAGTAAAGTCTTTTAAATCGCCCGTGTGCAGGGTTGTGGTTCAAAACTCAGAAGACGACTTGACTTATACATGTGTTTCAAATAATGACAATGCAACAAACGAAAAAGTGAATCCCAACGTTTAGTTGAATCGTGCTCGTGCTTCGAGCACACACATGCAGTGTTTGGCTGGGCTTGCAAGTGTTGACTGAAATGTGAACCATAAGATATTGCTGCAGGCATCGTTTTATCATCGACAGGTTGATGTCCATGATTAACGGAGCATTCAAATGTGAAATTCACGCAACCCATATTAGCATCGCGTTGTCAAAAAGGCTGCACGTCGGCACGTGCTAAGAAGCAGCTACTGAAACATTTTTAGCTTACATTCCAATTTCACCGAAGCACGTTGATGAAAATCAAAGATCCATGTTAAGGTGTCCGCATGTTTGTTGACACACAAAAAACATTACCTCACCTGACGAAACTGGTGTCGACGGAAATCAAGCAGCCACACTCTAGAAGGTTCGATCTTGTCGAGCGTGACGCACGCAGACCACCTAATACCAACCAATTTCAACGGCGTGATTTACAGACCATGAAAGATGCGTCCAAAGCAATTTCCATTGAAATACCATCAAACCCACCAATGTACTACAGCCTTTGGACGCATTTAAAACATTGCTTCTTGTCCACCATCCACTTTGCACACAATCAACAAAATAATGGAAGGCCACAACACCAAAATTACTCTTCGTATTTACGCATGATGAGAGTCAGCTGTGCACAATTACGGTGTCGTGGGCGATGCCATTGGCTTTTGTGGCAGCAGAGAAAGGGAGACGCTGATTGTGAGTGACATGGCGGTTGTCATGGCGATGGTTCCCAGCCACAGTCCCCAAATGCTGCCAAGTTCGAACATCACCATTACTGATCCCGACAGATTGCACATCGCACCGAGGCTACCCGCGATGATCATGGCTACGCGCAGCCAGTGCAGGTTTCTAAAGAAGTCGGCAAGGCAGCAGGCAGAGGCGACCGAGAGGAAGGCTGCAGCCACCATCTGAAGGATGCCCTGATTGCGCACAAATTCAATCCTGCACTCGAATATGTTCCTGCATTCTGGAATGCCGATTGCAATCGCCGCTACAAGAAGCAACGTCGCCACCGCCACCGACAACACATTCACCAGCTTCGATGTTCTCATTTTGCGTCTGATTCTCATCCACACACGCACACAATTCATTTACGCACGCTGTGAGGACCATTCACATCTGCGTTCTGTGTGCTTCACTGTCACTAACAGTAGTGATTGGGTGGTGCCGACTATGCTCCATGTCAATTGTGAGATCCGGTCAAGCATGTGAGTGGGAAATTGCATTTGTGAACTTGATTTAAGACGGTTCGTGAGGTTGAACGTGCAAAGCCTTGTAGTACGCCTTGACAATGTCTTCTGACGCACGCTTATTGCTGGCTACTAAAGCGAACGAATCATGTCTCGTTGCAAATGAATTAAAAGATTTGTACTAAGCATTTGACAAACGCACAATGCCTGTTTTTAGGTCATTTTAATCCAGAATGCAGTCAGAACGATTTAACGCGTGGGGAATAATCTGCGTTTGGAATACTGGGGGTCACTTGAGTAGTGAAGACAATGCAACGACGACACAGTCACACTCGTTGAAGTGTTTTGCCAGTGACTTCGACCTTCTCAGTCAGTTGAATTCTTAACGCCATTTGCTGGGATTGCGTTATGGCAGCAAATTTTGTATTCAACTTTGTTTACAATAGATCACTGCTAAACTTTTCATGCAGAAATCACCCACAACCTTTCACAAAGACGAGTTTTTGTCTTCCTTGTGGTTAGTGTTTGCAGTGGATTCAGATGTTTGTGGATGAATGAAGTTCGTGGTTTCAACGAAACCTACACACGACACACCTCCACAACGATCGAAATGTCTCCAACGCACTGGCGAATGCTTCAGTCAAGTGCGCATATTTTGCACAATTTAGGTAATACCGAAATGCTATTTCATGCCATGTTGCTGCTATAATGCTAAATTGAAAGTGGCTTTGGGGGCGGACGGAAATCGCGTTTATAGCAGCGGTCAACATGCACCCCATGTTGCTAAATTGTACATATTCATTTCAACAATCAGCTTTGTGCACCATGAAATGTCCCACGCCTGTCAGTTCATATGTCGCCTTAGGTCTTTCGGTTGCCACTGCGGGAAAGTCGATTTATGTGGCTTGATTGCGTACGAACGGATATCACGGACCGGAGGATTTGTTGAATACACATGAATTGCGGTTAAGATATTAACCATTTTAAGAGTATTGCTAAACATGTTCATTTTTTGGTCTACTTATGAATTTCTCAAAATCATAAATGCCTTTGTTAGTTGGGAAAATATTGCCAGTTAAAGCCTTTCTAGAGACAAATTGTTGCACGCATCACAATCTGTGAATAAGCCTAAATGTGGTCACGAAATGCTTTGAAGTTGGCATCTGAAATGCAACACAGCCAGACCTGTTGAAGCACTAATTCGGTTACTTCAGGAGATGTCCAATGTCCAAAAGCTATTTATAATGTGTGAAAATGCAGCCTCGACTATGTACTGGGATTCTGGTGTCAGCAACTTCATAAACCTGCGGCTTTGCGATCATCCGTGATTCCATATTACGGAAGCTCTCCTAGATGTTAAAAAGGCATTTTCTGTGCAGCCTTGGCTGTGTTCTGTGGTTCTGATATAAGCCACCTATTTCTGTAAGTTAATTTTGCTAGACCTGCAACGTAGCTGACCTTGGCCTTTTTTGACCTGCTCTTGGCAAGCAGTTTGCTTGCATTCAGCGTTGTGCACTCATCTCCAGGAGTGTTAAAACCATTGAATTGCTCAATCTACCGAGCAATAACACTTGGATGAGTAATGTCTATTGGTGAGACCATTAATTATGGTAATAAATGTTTTAATCCAGCTTGAAAATGACATGCAATATCTTAGCATGGCGTTATTTACGTAGGGGGAAGTTTGCGGATAATCAGCACGAAACAAGCAATTGAGGTATTTTCTCAGCATTAACTTGTGTGACAGCACGGTTTCAGCGTTGCATTCTACTGGCGTTCTTTTTAAATTAATCACTGACCGTTATGTCCCATTTTTTACTGAATTACGACACAAAAGAGTATTTCCTCTTGAAAAAAATCAATGATGACCAAGTATTTATGTGAATAAACAATGGGAAGATAGTTAATATATTGTAGTTAGCCACAACAGTCCTTATGGTGCGGGCTTTCAAAACAACACAGTGTGCCGTCGGACACTAGGAGTGTGAGATCAAGGTAAATATGATAGTTCTCGGTTAAGTATTTTATGATGGATGAAATGCCAATTTGTTTTGACAGTGTTCTACACGAAGAAATGACATTGCATTACTTACTTCGGAACCTTGTTAACCTAGATCGTGTAATTAGATATTGTCGTGTTATTGGGGGTTTTACAGGGGGTGTTTGTGTGTGCATTACTGTAGATACGGGTCATCTGATACCATCACATGATTATCCAACGTATCCGTTTCTCTAACTCAACAGGATGAGCTGAAACCTGCTTGTTAGCCCTTACCTAACGCCAAACATGCTCACTGATCCCTCAATACTCACTCTCCTTCTGGCGCTTAACCCACAGTCGTGTGAACATGATGGTCTCACTCCAATTTGTAATTTACCATGAGACCTGTTTCACTCACACGGCATTTTAAAACAGAGGGACATAAAACAAACATAGCAGGGATATTAATTATGCTAAATGTTCATGGTAAATTGTCGGACAATTGAAGAGGTTTGTCCTGATTGCAATATAATTACAGCAGCAAAAATGCAAAGCCATCGTAACAAGGCTCAACAGCGGAGGTCCCTTCTGGTTTATGCATGTGTCATGCAAGTGTCGAAATTCGGCAGGAGCTATTTGTCTTCGCTTGATACTCCGACCTGATGAAACTTGGCTGCATCTGCAAACCGGGTACGTAGCAAAGTTCCGCTTTTGCTTTGAAACCACACTACTATTATCAAAACCACAGCTCTCACAACCACCCATTTTTCCATGCCAATATGACGCAATTTACGTCTAGACCTTAGTTATTTCGTTAATACTGCAACCGAAATGGTGATTGTCATCTCACACTTTTGCCCCAACTCAATGGCCTAAATTGTCTATTTTGTGTGTGAATATTCAAAAGTAGCCTAAGAAGAATGAGAACCTGACCACAGCAAATAATAGCACTGATGATGAATCAGACATGAAGCAATGCAGACCGCTTGAGACAGTTTTGCGAACTAACGCATTCAGCCAAGTGGACAAATCGCTTCACAGCGCTAAGTATTGAAATCAAAATGAAACACGCTCCATGTGAAGGCACAACTGCTCGTCAGCGTCCAGAAAAGGGGAACGCCTTACGTTCGGTTTTTTTATCATATGCTCTACCGGCAAATGTCGCATTACTTAAAAATTTTGGTCGAGGTATACAAGGCTTTACCTCAAGTAGGCACATCAGTTCAAGACAAAGTTCGGAGTTGAAATAGTTTAACGTTTTCAAACTGACGAACGGTTAAGGAATAGGGGAAACAGCTTGAACTGCATTGATCGTTGCTGCAATTAAATAAATAGCTACGGTCCAATCATGAACGCGTGTGCAGAAGTTCACTCACAAGCCACACATGGCTGTACGTCCCATGATGCGTATAAGTAGATACTTAGCGTGTGATAGTTGACAGAACACAAAATGAAGCCTGCAAAGTTGGCGAATCTGATCTTCGCAGCGGTTGCAACCACGTTTTTCTTAATTGCCATTTTTCTTGGCATGCCACCCTGCCAAAACGTCTTTACCTGTGATGATGACTTACTTGTCTACTTTGGTGCTTTGTTTATGACCTCGGCTGTGCTTCTGTTTGCCGCTACAGTTCTTTTGGCAATTGGGTTCTACAAGGAATTCGTCTGGCTGCGACCCACCGTCGCGGTTGTCTGCGCCCTGAGCTCGTTCTGTGGATTACTAGGAACAATGATGGCGCCATTTCGATTTGTATATCCCTGGGGCATGTGGTTCAGTACTGTCAGCACGACATTTTCTATTGCATTCGTCATAAGTGCTTCCATTTCAACGTTTTATCAAAAACCTGTATTGTCTTCAAAGGCGTCTCAGCTGAATGCCTTTTAAACTCATTACGCTTGGCTAAGTGTGTACAACATCATTATCAAGAAGTTTATGTAAATCAAAATGCTTTCCCGGCTTGTACTGGTGTTTGACTGAAATGATTTCTTTTCAACAGAAGAGCGAAGGTTGTTATCCAACAAAGTTGCGGTAGTCGGTTTTAAATTTAACTGCGTGGGCATTCTATTTAAATAGATCGTAATGAGCTTACTAACTATTAACATTGTGCCAGCAGTGGTCATAATTGTGTTTATAATTTTTCAAGATGAAAATTTTATCATGTTGATGGTTTGAGCAAATTTCAGGCAGCAACTCGAAGCACCACATGTGTTCGAATTGTGATGTTAATAAGAATGTGTTTCTAGAAATAGTTTGATTAGACACATTGTCTACCCGTGTGAGGGATGTGTGGTTTTGATCCCACCCTCAAATATTGTTAATTGAATTAACAGGAATCATGTATCCTTCAAAATCGGTAGTCTTTAATGATTCTTTCCTGTCACTGTAATCATTTTATGCGAAAATCGCATCCAAATACAAAACTAAATTTAGGTGAATCAATTTATCTAAAATATTTTAAAAAGGACACTGTTGACCGATAAACGTAAAAAATTATAGCGATTTTGGCAAAATCGGACAAAATAAATTTAGTTAACATGATCTTTGTCTGGATATTTTGCATGCTATGTAATCGTTTTGAGGTCGGATTTGTGAGTGTTCAATTATTTTATACATGAAGTTAACACTTACTCCTAATATGAAACTATTTAACTAAGCTAAAATAGACGATTCACAACAAGCTATAAGTGATTGTTGTAGTGAGCGTGGACTCCTAGTTCATACGCTATAACTCTGAGGCTAGATAAATGACTAACATCGGAATCCCAGTACATAGTCGAGGCTGCATTTTCACACATTATAAATAGCTTTTGGACATTGGACATCTCCTGAAGTAACCG